AATTATTGAATGTTGTTCAGTTTATAGTGCTTGTAATGGTTAGCTAGAAGCAATGTTAAAATTTCGCGGAATCTAAGTGCCATCTCCAGAACAGAGGTTCATAAACACAACGTCCTAGGCCAGTAAATTTAGGTGTGTACATATACCTTACACTCGCATGGAAGGTTTCATCTTATTAATATTTTTATTTTAAAATAATTGTTTATTTGTTGTTTCCAGTACAGAGATTACATGACCTCATTATTCAGGTAGGGGACAACTTGGCCGATCTTAAAACAGTTTTCAACCATACAAGCCCCATTGGTGATACTTGCAAGATCTTATTTGGTGCCCCACAGCACGGACGCTATGTCAAGTTGTACATTGACGGAACAGAATATCTGACGATATGTGAAGTAGGAGTCTACAGTGACCTGTAAACAGCTCAACAAAAAGAACTAATTTTCCAGATATTTGAATATCTGACAGACATTGTAAAAATCCCTCGATTATTTGGGCAACAAGTAGATTTTTTTTACTGTTTATTGTCTTATATATAGATTAATGTAAATGTGTTTGCTTGCCGATTTATAAGTCACTTCGATACTGTAAAATTCGAAAAGCGTGTCTCAATTACAATACGAACCTTCGTGCATAATTTTAAGCACAAGGGAACACCTGAGTACAACCATCGATCTTCCGTAAGATAAAAAGTTGAAAAAGTTCTATATTTTAAGTCCCTGTGAGGATTCGAACCTACATCAGTGAGAAAAAAGTATTTGAAATCAGCAGTGTAAACCATTTGGCCATGGAGGCCTCTAGACATCGAGGCAGGGGGACTGACGAAGCTGCATTTATATATTGTTATAACTCATTCAACTGTATAGATGTTTCATTTTACACAACAAATGATATAAATAATGCACATATAGAAATAAATTTGGAACACGTTAAGAACCCAGTAGCATCAGTGCACACATCGCATGATCGTGTAATAAAAATAAACTTTGATTTGATCTGAGACAAACATGCTCATAGCAAGCAATATAAACAGTAACTAATTGTTGTTTTGTCTATTAGAAATTATTATTTCTTTTAGACGAATAAATATTTCGTTTAAATACAGTTTAACTTATTTCAAACAAATTATTTTCGTTTTAACGAAATAAAACTTTTGTGAAAATTGTGTTTGCGTGCGTAGTGCTTGCGTTCGCGTGCGTGCGTGCGTGTATATATGCGTGTGTCATTTTAGGAGCTACGTAGGTTTGAGACTTTGTCTGACATAAAACTTTTTAAACACAATTCATAAAGCATGGAACTTTGCCCGACATTTCATTGAAGGCCTGTCTTAAAGGGAAAGACAAGGTTAGAATAGAAACTTGATTTCAGAAAAAGAATACTATAAATAATAAATCTGCAAATTTTCTGCCGCCAAATAATAATATTAAACGAATGATATCAAAATTTAAATCGCTAAATCACCGATTTCTACAAATCAGTAAGCGCGGCCATGTTTGTGTATTGGCCGTATAAAAACAGGTGCGCGTGATGTCATTTCCCCACATCTTTAGATTCATGATAAATCTAGTTGAATCGTAAGGAAATATTAATATAATAAAGTATTGACCAGACAATTTAATTTTCACAGGAGGTGAAGAGGAGATTTTTTATGGTTCAAAATACGCAACAATATCAAAAAAAATAAAAATAATAATAAATAAAGAAACGTACGGCTAGCCAAAAGTTCTAGCCGTACGTGAGTCACGAACGACTAGCCAGGACGCACTGTATTGTCTAGCCCATCTAGTCTAGCCGTACGGCACTTTTCAAAATTATATGGAAGTCGAACGTTATAAAATTCTTGATTTTCATACTTATCATTTGTTGTTTTATTTGTATGAATTATTAAATCATTTTTGTTAATTTTAAGCACATGGATCGAATAAAAAATGATCGGAGTGGAATAAATAAATAAAAAGAACATTGAATGAAAAAAAAACAAAAAAAAAAACGGTGAAATGCAAAAATAATTATATAATTTTCAAAACAGTAGATAAATATCGAACATAAAAGCACAGTCAATCAATTAATTAGCCTTAATTAAAACCTATCCAGGGACTGACAATAGAATTTTAGAATGCCTTTCACGGAACATGCAAACTTTCCTTGATGTACAAACTTCTATACAGTACCGTCGGTAATTGTCGCAATTATCAAGAGCCTAACAACAATCATTTTCAGTTAAAATCCTTGCTTAAAGTCATAATATAACATATGCATTTTCGACTTCCATAAAATTTTGAAAAGTGCCGTACGGCTAGCCAATATACAGTGTGTCCTTGCTAGTCGTACGTGACTCACGTACGGCTAAAACTTTTGGCTAGCCGTACGGGCCCGTACGCTAGCCACTTCCATTATAAAAACCCTACTAAAACGTGTTCTTAATAGTACATATAATTAAATTTTTGCAGTTTGATTCTGACTTTCAAATTTAAAGGTGTGAACATATGTTATAATTGATGTACGCATTTCAAAAATATAAGCAACTCTTTTGAAAAGTAAATTGTTAACATGTCTGTCAACGTATGATGCTGGGCATCGTTATCGTAGCCTAATATTAACTGCAGGCAAATCATTTTTATTGGCTGCTCAAAAATCTAATTTGCATAATTTATTCACACAATTGCTGGTTCTTACTACTTATGTCTAATACTGCGCATTGTCCATTTTAATTGTTCCTAATTTGCACCAAATGTTCCTGTCACACTGTGTACTGACGATTTTTATTGCTCCTTGTATGCCTCTGTGCCGACAGACCTTTTGATCATGCACAATGTTGCCCTGATTGGTTAATCACCCTTGTCAAATATTCTAATGACGAAATAGACATCTATTTTTTTACGCTTCATCAGTGAACTGAATGACCTTAGGGGGAATTAGGTTCCACACCTGTCAGTAAATTACAGCACGTCATAAAATAGCAACACATTTTTTTCAGTTACCAATAATCATTTTAAATATTAAGTAGATTTATGATTTTTTGTTTTATTGGATTAAATTTACGGTAGTAGAAATGCGTATCTGTCGGGGAAAGGAATTTGGTAAGTAGATAACGTGGAAAAAAGCTTTAGGGAACTGGATAAACCCGAGAATATGCGTAATTATAGGGGAATGGGCAACCTGTTGCTGTTGGTACCAGTTTTGACTGGGTGCCTAAATAACCTAACGGACAGTTTTGTTTTCATACGATATTAGTCTGGCTGCCGATTTTTCTGCGCCATTCTCATTTTTAGCGTCAATGGCGGAAAATCGCGTCCTCAGAATATTGGATTTAGTTGATATTTTACCTGAAAAAAAGATACATGACCGGCGATGTACCCTATTTGGACAGCTTGTCTAGCGAAAATTAAGTACAAAATAAAAGGATATATCGTCAATTTGAAAAAGTTTTTCATAGTACCCAAATTAAATTTATTGTTTATCTTTGAAAATTAAGCAGTCATTGCTTAAATCATGTGGTGGGATCATCAGCAAGCTTGAATATCGGACAAATGATAATTAATGTCGCGGCGTCTTCAATTAATTAATTAAAGCAATTCAGTTCCATATGATGTTTTCATAAATAATATATAATGTACGCAATAAAATAATAAGTTCTTCATCAAGATATATTTCAGTTGTACCAGCGTGTACACCTATACCGGAAGTGGGTATAACACGTCACAATCTCGGTCTCGTCTGTCTCGCGAGAATGACAGAACGCCAAAATGGCGGCGCCCATGAACTTATTTCTCAAGTAAAAAATAGTGTCTTAAAACACGAATTTCTCTCTTATAGGGTTGATGTCAATAGGAAAACTGCCATGGTTCCTCTTTTTAAATAATGAATATTTATATTAGACAGACATCAATCCATCCATTCCTATTCCTTTAAAAAGATATTATTCCGAACGATTCGTGGCTATCATTTTTAACAATGTGTTCGTAAAAAATATGCAATTAAATTTTGACTAATGATTGATAAATTCATCGTAAAATCAAACATAATACGATATGTAAAAAAATCAAGCAGAATCTATTTTAACCCATAACTGCATGAACATTTTGTGAAAAAAAATGGTTGTTTCTATTGAAAAGTCTCCAGTAACAAGTTCAAATTGCTATAAAACTATAAAAACTGCTTCAATTCTAATCAAACTTTCAGATCGCATACTGAATAGGACCACCGACGTTCGGATCCCGTTAGGTACTTTAGATAATCAAATAGGAAAAAACATACAAAACATAAATGTGATGATTTCAGCTGGTCTGTTTCGAAGACGAAGTCGAGCTATTGTGATCGCCATGGCGTCGTTTTCGTACAAAAACTTCAATGTAGCCTATTATTCAATAATTTCCAATGTAATCAACATGAAATTTAGTATACTTGTTTATCATAACATAGTGCAGTTACTAGATAGGGGGCATTATTCTAGCAGCTATATTATTGTAGTTTTGCCCCTTTTTAAAATGATTTTTTTGCAAACATGGTCAAATAAGAAGAATGAAACTTTTTTGTGGATTTGTGGATCATGAACGTTTAATAAGAAGCATTATACTGTTGGCTAAATTATAAGAGTATCTAGAGTTATTCCCCATTTGTCGAAATTGCTGGTTGATCATGACAATGCACAATTGTAAAGCAAGGGACATTATCCTAAGAGCAATATCATTAGGGGTTAAGTCCCTTTTTGACATAGAATTTGTTAAATAATTGGTTATTGACAGGCTTCGGCGTTGCACTTCGCATGAAATGCTCTTATTTAGGAAATATATATCATATATATCAAATTTGTGTGCATTAATGTAGAATAGTGAACGGTTCGAGTTCAAATACGTAAGATTTTAATCTCGAAGGCCGATAGACCTGAGTGTTTTATTACAAAGCATTTAAACGATAAACCATGCATTATTATATCAAAGTGGAAGGAAAACTAATATATATTTCCATTCTAACTAATTAAAAGAGAACTGATAAATTTGATTGATCTTTTTTATTTTTATTTCTTTTTTCATGAGTATCAATGTATCGATGTGATAATGACATAGATAAATATATTATTTTCTTTCTTTATAATAAATTTGACATAAGAGCCGATTAAATATGTATGTTTTATATAAAAACGTATCATTTTGACTAAGTATCATATGGAAGAAAATATTTACACAATCATTTATAACTGAGTTTTCTGTTAATGACATTTATATTCGTTCCCACTAAATTTGACTCTTGTGTTGATACATGTACTACAAGGTCTTAGTTATTTCACAAATTGAGTAGAACGAATATGTACATGTAACATCACGCCAAGTTATGTCGCCGCTAGAAAAAACAATTACTAAACAAAGCTCATCCGAGTTGTTATCTGGCTGTCCTGACAACCACTTGAAAAATCCTTTTTGAGATCCATATGTGTACTTCCATGGAGAATTCACATCTTTGCGATGTCCGTCTATCCAGATTCCAGCAGTACTGAAGCCATTAAGATGACCAATGACGTCCTTGTACTTCAGTTCAGAGTCGATATTCAACAGATGACCACCATCCTTTTGACATTGCTGCTCTGCGACAGTTTTTGTCACTTGTTTGACAGCATCAAACTTCATGCAATACCCATTCTTTGTGAGATTATACCCATTAGGACAAGCCATATCCATGATACAAATTTCAAACTCTTTCTCTGCTCTACTGTTAGACTCTATCTCACAACTTGTCATATTCACATTGCAACGCCTTGTCCTGAATTTTGAACCGAACTGACCAAATCGAGCTGTGCAACCGGACCATTCCGTCCATTCTGAGCAAGGGTGAAGGGCACATATTTGGACATCGATTTCCTTTTCCATATTGTCAATTGTCTTTCCTATCATTTGTAATGCAGGTAATTTGAGTTTCTTCCCAAACTCCATTAAATTCTCGCCGTTTAAATCGCCAGCATTAATTCCATTCTCATCTGCCAAAGGTGCACTGTTAATACACAAAACAGTTGCACTGAGAATAAACAACAACGCCATGTTTGATTCAAAATTGAATCTGAGAGTATGAGTTAACTGAAGTAATTGTTCATAAAGTGAATGAGTAAGTCTTGAATTTACGCGGCGTAGCCAGACACATAAAAACGTACAATTTGGTTGAATTATGTGACATTATTTTCAGTAAAATGTTATTTACAGCTCGTTGTTGTTTTTTCCTTTTTTTTAAATTCGAGATAATACTATTTCGTACCCTTTTTCGTTACCGCCCGAAAAACTTTATTACTGGTCATAACGTTTTTATTGTCTTCATACATAAAACCTTAATCTTTAAATGACGTTGACCATAAATGACATTTATCATCAAGGTCAAATTATTGATTTTACCAACACTGTGATGACTTTAAATATCCTTTATCTACTGATTTGTAATGAGCAAACCATAATGTTGAGTTATTATTATAAGACATTGATTGTGAAATGTCATTGACTGTCAACGTCAAATTATTGAAGTTTGCGATTGTATATAGCTATGTGTTTGAAATTTTACTTAGACAAGACACTATTCTTGAAAGAACCGACGTGTTAAATGCTTTAATGTGACATTCCCTTTAAAATGATATCAACAACCAAGGTCAAATTATTGCATTTTGCTTTGATCGTGATAAATTTGTTATTTATGTAAAGATAAGATTCACACTTTAAGTTGGATAACAGAACACGTGTGACAAAACCGACAAGTTGAATGTTTCGGATATACCCATGACTTTAACCTCGGCTTTAATTGTAGTCGTGGTCGGAATATTGAATTTTCTTCACTTTGTTATATATTTACAGATTTGATTTAATCTCTATATTAATGGTCAGATTTGATTCATGCTTCAACAAAACAATGCAATGGCACCATGGACATGTTCGATTATTCAAATATCACGTACATCTAACAAATGACATTGACTCAGAAGATCAAATATGAAACTTCAATTTCTTAGAGACATTTTTATGTATATAATAAAACAATTTTGGTCTATGAGTGAAATGTATATTAAAGGATATTTGTTCACTTGTTTATGATATTGAAATATTCAAAAGAGTGAACACTTCTTGCAATATTTTCAAGGATGGCGTAATCATGGTTGATAATAAAAAAAGTTCTCGTTCATGATTGAAATATGTGTAAAAGAGCCGTTTTAATGTTTCAATGCACTATAACTGATTCTCTTCCAGCATTATGTTCTTTTTTCATGACGCCATCAGTTCAAAATATCTAAGCTTTCATGTTGAAATCTGATTCAGTAAAATTTCTGGAATTGTGTCACCATTTACCTAGTTGTGTAGAAATTTATGCAAAACAGTGTGTGCTGCCATAAAATTGTACATTTCTTTTTTTAAGAAACTAATTGTGGAGATTTGTGTTTACATCGGTTTCTGGATTTTGGATGCTTTTGGACTTCAATCATTTGCAGATTGATATTTACATCAGTTTTCTGGCTTTTGGATGCTATTGGACTTCAGTCATTTGCAGATTGATACTTACAATGGTTTCTGGCTTTTGGATGCTATTGGACTTCAATCATTTGCAGATTGATATTTACATCGATTGCTGGCTTTTGGATGCTTTTGGACATAAATAATTTGCAGATTGATATTAACATCGGTTGCTAGCTTATGGCTGATATTTGTCTTCAACCATTTGCAGATTGATATTTTTATCCATTGCTGGTCTTGGCTGATATTTGTCTTCAACCATTTGCAGATTGATATTTTTATCCATTGCTGGTCTTGGCTGATATTTGCCTTCAACCATTTGCAGATTGATATTTACATTGTTTGCTGGCTTATAACTGATATTGGAATTCAATCATTTACAAATTGGTTGCTGGCTTATGGTTGATATTGGTCTTCAATCATGTACAGATTGATATTTACATCAGGTACTGATATATGGCTGTTATTTTTTTTCTTATGCGCAGAATTATATTTATATTGAGTTCTGATATATTTGCTACTTGTCATATAAATTCCGTGCTGATATACGGCTTCTATTGCTATTAAGCCATAAGCAGATTGATATTTAGATCAGATGTTAACGTATGTATAGTCATTATATTTAAAATCATTTTTCATGTATTAGATACGCACTTGTACTTGTTTTAATTTGTTTACTTCAAATGTTTATGTACGTGCACATAAAGCGGGAACATGAAGGTTATCAGTCAGGAAATAATTTCGCATTTCCTATGAACCACAATCTTAACAATATAGTGATCTAGAGCCACAAAATAAATTTGGATTAAGGTATTCCACCGAACAACTTAAGCTTGATAATATATTTTCCTCGTATAATTAATTCTTCTAGATATATAGACGGAAAGTGGCGGAATATGCCGAAATTGTGCGAGCCTATAGTGGATGCAGCGCCTTATCATTTCAGTCACGTTTTCACCCCCATATAACCACTTTATGCCAGCTTATCAACATATATATCTACATCCTGAAACTTTTCCCACGAACAGATGTAATCTTTATCACGTCTCAAAGAAAGAAAAACATGAGATTTACGTAATTGCTACCAATATAATTTTTTATCGTCTACTTTTAGCTAATATTTCTAGTGTGCTGCTATATTTTGTGAGAAATAAATTCATACTGTTTTTTGAACAGCAATATACCGAAAAGTCGGTTTTTGTATAATTATATTATCACCAATGTTTAAAAGTTCTCTGTTAACGGAAAACATAACCTCATTTTTGTCTTTAATGAAATGGCTTTCTTTGCAAATTCAATTTAGTATTTGGAGATATGGACGTTTCAGTGATGTTTTAGGTGTGATTTACAAGACTACTGATTCCAATGATAGGATTGTAAGATACTGTGTCATCGAGCACATGCAAAATGCTCCAATTTACACTGTTTTTGTCGACTCGGAGATTTTTTTATCTTATTCCAAGAAATCGTTACAAAACATGAATCAAAAAATGTTTTAGCGCACAGAAGATTGGTTTTAAAATACTTGATAACATTTTTAAAAAAAAACGTTTCAAGTTTTACTGTCTGGTTAAAGCCTAAAAACTGGATAACTTTTGAACGGGAGTCAGAGTGGGAGCATGTCAGAAAACAACAACTTAAAACTAGGCAGTAAAACTTTAAACGTTTCTTAAAATTATATTAAGTACTAAAGCCAATCTTTGGTGCGCTTTTTTATATTTTAACGATTTCTTAGAATAAAAACATATTTTACCTTCAAGTCGACCGGATGTTTACCAAATCAAACAAAAAACAAACAAAAAACAGTCCGATTAAGAACATTTTGCAGATGTGCGATGAAGTAGTATCATACCATTGATTTAGGTTGTTTAGGAGTCTTATCCCTGTTAAACACTGATATGACTTGTTATTTGTGCTTAACGGATGTTCCAAAATTCTGTACAACATTAAAATCTTTAAGGTAACATTAGCAATAACTATAAACTGTATAAATTAGTTGAGAGCAAACTCTTTGAGACTAAGAGACTTAATTATTACATATAAACATAAAATGTTCAAGAAACAAAACTCATTCTAAGAGAGAATGTATATTTATAATACTCATATCATATAGCGGCTGGAACTAAAAGTGATTAGTGTCCAGCTTTATTTGTCATCCAATGAAAATTCTGTATTTCTTCAAAATTCTGTGCGTTAATTTTCATAGAAGAACAAAAATCGATACTATATCGAATTCCGTTCATAGTCGACTTCTATTTTTTATAGTACTTCATAAAACAGCATAGTGATGTAATAAAGTAAATGATAATGAAGCCAAATAAAGCTTGACACTAAGTATGTTAGTATTTATCCTTAGCTGTTCTACAGAAATTAGAAAAATTCTCCTGTCGCTGTCGCTCCCGTCTAATTTTTGTAGGACAGCTCGGATGAACACTAACATATACGTAGGCAGGCGGTGGCCTAGTGGTCAAGGTATCTGCCTCTCAACCCAGAGATCATGGGTTCGAGCCCTACTCGGGTCATGACCATGTTTCTTCATACGACACCAGTACTGGTTGGCTCCAGGAAGCGGACACGAAAGTGATTAATATAAGTTGCAAGAACTTGTTTCGCAATCGAGCTAAAATAAATATGTTTAAACCAACATATACTTAGCCTTTGACACTTTTTTACAGACTTAACCAAATAGTGTTGGAGCAGTAACTCTGGACGCTTGCAGAAATCATGATCACAATATAGACAAATATCACTTCTTTCGCCAATTTTTACATTTTTTATTTATGATTGTATATAATATATATTTGAAGAGATAAGTTAGACGTCTTAAAGTGTATTTCGGCGGGTGAAAGGATAAAAAGGCGAAACTTTTAGCATGTAATCATTCAAGAACCTTGTCCGGTATATATATATCGTAATACGACATTAAGTGTGGTGCTCTGTAACACCGCACACTTTTAGGTCCAACGCACTATGGGGTCAGACCCCAAAGTGCGTTAAACTTCACATCGCACTTTGGGGTCCAACGCACTTTGAGTCAAAATCGAGAATTTGACCCCAAAGTGCGTTTATATGTTATATACGAGTATCAACGCACTTTGAGTTCCAGAGTTCTGAAGGTGTCAACTGAGTTCTTACTGACTTATTTTCGATCTGCGACATTGAAATATTTGAGGCGGATTTGAAGATGACGGTCGATACTTATATACATCAATCTTAATGAGTGCCATCTTTATAAAAATGGAAGAACAGAAATGAGAAAAAATCTTGCTTAACAGATTTCTCTACAGTAATAGAAAACGGTCATAGAGTATTCTCCGTTTCCTTTTCTGTAAACAGTCAATCTCCCAACCATGCAGTGACCTCCCCTTATCAGTAGAATCTGCAAAGGGAGATAATCACTGTGAGGAGTTTACAGCAAACTCCCCGCAGCGGTTACTTCTCCAGATCAGTAGTAGCAATGCGTGACGTAACCGCTGTGAGGAGTTTGGTCAAACAGTAGTTACAGAGTATTCTCCCTTTGATATATAATTGGACATACTCGAATAGATGGACAGACGGACGTTCTTAGGAGAGGAAAGTACAAAATAAGAACATAAAATTAAAT